AACCCCAGCTATCGCCCCCCCACACCCCCCCCGTACGGTCCTTCTACGTATTTAAAGGCCACTCTTAAGATATAATTAAGTAGGTATTCACCTTTTTGAGACGTGGGACATGGGCATTTTTGGAATTAGAGCAGAATAAACCGCAAAAGCGCGCATAGCTATGCAAACACAGCAACTCTGCAGCAAACTAGCCACCGGGCCCCTTTGGAGTTCAGTAGATAGTTGCTATGTCTGTTTTTCTGTCTGTCTGTCTGTCTGTCTGTCTCTCTCTCTCTCTCTCTCTCTCTCTCTCTCTCTCTCTCTCTCTCTCTCTCTCTCTCTCTCTCTTTAATTTTTTCTCTCTCACGCAGGAGAGTCAAACTCTGGCTGCTAGTATGCATTTGCTGCGTACAGACGGTATTAAAGGAGCCATTTGGGTTCCAGGAGCTTCTCTTCACTGGGGGCTGCGCCTTGGGAGTGTTTCTGTGCGCCTGCGCCTCCGTGATGCCTCGCACAGAATTTGTAGACCTAGGATCGGGCCTAGACAGCCGCTATATCGGTCTGTACAGCTGGCGAGATCCTTGGTATTTGGCTTTCTTGGGTCTGTGCTGTGGCCTCGGTTTCGGAGCGCTTGTGTACCTCAACAGCGTTGAGTCAGAGCTGCTCGAAGAGAAGGAGCAGCAGCTGTTCGGCCAGACGGACCGCGAGATAAGCCTTCTTCCTCTAAAGAGTTCTTCGTAAGGAATGCTTCCTTCGTGGTGTCGCTGAGTTCCCCCCTCCGCTAAGCTTCCGCAGAGAGTGGCTGTCTTGAGCGCACAGAGTAGCAGCACGAGACGTGCAGGCCGATCGCAGAGTGTCTTGTGCGTGGAATTGTCTTCCCCACTTCCTGCTGCCGCTAATTTGACATTGCATTTTGCCGCTGTGCACGCTTTTGCGTCCTCAACAGCAGGGACACTCCGCCCAAGGAGCTGAGAGACACTACACCCATGAGCCCGAGGGCGCAGGGCAAGCAGTCTCTCTACCCGCGACTAGTTGGTACGCCTTTTCGAGGAAGACTTTCATACAAAGGGCTTCCGTGTCTCTGAGACAGTCAAAGAAAGGGATTCAATGCTGCCGCTATTCCGGCGTACCACCACACATATCCACGGACTGACTACCCACGAACGTGCGTGCCCCTTGTCTGCGCCTCAGGTCTTTGTTACGGCTTTTTGGCTGGCCTCGTTGGCTCCCAATGTATATTAGAAGTCAAGGAGATAGGGACCTGCGTTCGTGTGAGCTTTCCTGCAAGAATGTCTCTTGGACACCTTGCTGGCCCTTCATACACTTGGTTTCCCACCCACCCGCTCACTCTGCTTGGCTCATGTGCTTATATGTATGTCAAACACGGGGCTTCAGGACGTTAAGGCACTCAAGGAATCTTGTGAGCAACACTGCCACTTTGTATGTTTGCGCAGTACGGGCTCACGCGGAGCTCCATATGGTTCTCTCCCCAGCCTTACTTGGTTTGCTGCTTCTTGGGGCTATCCGTATGGATGCAGGTAAAGCACTGCTGCATGCGGATGTGCCTCTCCAACACAGCAGCATTTAAACACAACCTGGGGAGGACCCTTCGCGCCTCGTTGGCTGCGTGTGCCCTTGGCTCCTTGTCTGCATGATGTCTTCACGCCGGCGCATGCATTCCCGCTGCAGATCCACTTTTTAAATTTGGGGCTTGCAAGAGGAGACGCTACTACCATTGTACCTACATACTACGTCGTATGGACCTTTTTTGGCACTCTCGGAGGTACAAGAGTTCCACACAGCCGCCTTTTGCTGGGGCCCCCCTGGACCTGCCATCGCTTACGTAGGGGCCTCCGTAGGGAATGGCGGCCAGGACGCTCCTTGGTGCTGGCGTCGTGTGGGTATGTGTGCAGGATTTGCGAAGTTTCACGAGGTTCAAGGCTTTAGTGCAGGAGCCCTTGTTCTCTTTGGGTTAGGTTTCGGCCTCACGGCCATGTGTATCATCCTTCTTGCAGTAGAAGAGATGAGGAACTTGTAAGCAGCGAAGACAGCCATCTGCCTTGGGGCCAGTCCTTGCACCAATACCGTAGGAGGTTGGACGCTTTTCACTTTCGTGAGGGAGAACGTTTCGAGCGATTTTTTCTTCTCAGGCGCAAATATGTGGACCAGCAAGTCCCGGAGATTGATGACGAGGAAGCCGATCTCGTAAGGGGGCTTCGCTGCAGCAGGACGTAGCTAGCTGCCTGGCCAGGGAGACGCGAGGGGGAGGGCCTGCCTCGCCTTCTACTGGTTCTGCCCCTCGCTCAGAAGGCGTGTTGCAGCTAGCTAGATGCCGCACTGATATGCCTTTAGCAAGAGCAAATTGAGGGGACCATGCGTGCTGTTTGCGTGCTGCTGGTGGCGCTTATCGAACACAGGCAACACAGGACCTCGTAGAGCAGCGCCTGGCCAAGCGGGTAACTTTTGCCATGGGGATGTTCCCTATCTCGTCTTTGGGACGAACTGCGGGGAGGCGGCGATTCCGTCCAGTTTATCAGCGATTTAGGAGAACCAGATCCACTGCGTCGGATACGGCCCTGGGAGATGCATACGGAGAGCTCACCGTGGGCAGCGCCTCCGTTGCTGCTGCCTACACGCTGCCTCCAAATCTGCACTTCCCCAGGCCGAGTACTGAAGTGAGTGACGGGAGATCTCCCACCTTCTTCGGGGTCCCGCCACGCCACCGCAGGCTCCTCTCGGCAGCCCGTTCAAAAGCTCACATAGCCTTAGCACCAACTGATAATCACACATACACACACATACACATGCACAGCGCGCACTGTTGGTATTTGCACCAAGAGCGGCAAAAATCGCCATCTGTCCTAAGGGCAGGGCTGTTCTGTAGAGCTTCTAGGCCGGCTAGGCAGCAGTTGCGCGCGCGAATCTTCTCCAGCGTGCAGATTTTATGGCAGTGCATGCATCCAAGCACACCTGAGCCCGCGTCGGTGGCCGATGCAGTGGACAGATGCTGCCACTTGTCTTCCCGTATCTTATTGCCGCTTTTGATGGCTGTCTCACGCTCGTGCAGGGTCCTGGAAGTCAAAGCCACAGCAGTGGAGCGACCCTCGATCCACACGGCGTCCATCTGCAGCGCTTGGGAGGAAACCGAACGTCCACGGCGTATAGACACCCCGACCCGGTGGGCAGAGTTTCCTGGGGAGCCTCTGAGGAGGCCTTACAGGGTCAGTCTAGCTGGGATCGACGGCCGGGGGAGTCCGTGGAGATGACACGGGTCTCAGCGCACAAGCAGAGCCCCCCCTCGCTGCGTTCCTCTCTCCAGTGCGATCAATCAAATTCTCCACAGGGAGAGCAGGTGAATTTTTTTACAGCTTAAAGGTGACACAGCCCTTGTGCTCCCTGATGGCGCGGCGACCAGCCAGCCTGGCTGCCGCGTCTTAAAGGTTTCGCTTCCACGTCTTTCCTCCATACCTCGATGGTGCGCGCGTGCGCATGTGTTGACACCCTTGTGCCTGCTCGCTAAAAGGTGGTGTGCTGAGACCCCTGCATGTGTGCGTTTCAGCAGAAAGAAGTTCAAACTACGTGGGCTCCCAAAACTCCCACGATTCATTTCGGGGGGCGAGGACGCCAATAGCAGGAACCTAGGATATCGCACACGCGCTGCACCGCTCACTCCACTAGCTAGTCTGTCCGCATACATCTCCACAGGAAAGGCGCCCTTAGCGGCGCGCTGCAAAAAAACTTTCTCTTCCTCTAATTACGTTTTAGCATTGCTGCGGGCGCATGGCCCGTGCTGTCTTTCCCCTTCTTTGCCCTACCCGCGTAGCCCTGCAAAAAGCTCCTTCCCCCTTATCTGACATCCTTATATACGCAAGAGCAGGCCATTGCCTGTCTGCACTCCCGGACTCAGTGGCGCCAGTAGACTCAGTAACTGTCTCCCTCTTAGGCACCTGGGTTTTGCTAGTGCCTCTTCTGGAGATCGTCCCGTAGATCCCGTAGAGTTCCCTTCGAAACCCCACGAATTGCTGGAGTATCTCTGTCTCTAAGTCGATATTTAAACAATGCACGGGCTCGAAAGAGACGATAAGAGGAGTTCAGCCTTTAGATGAGGCAGTTGGAACACGTCGCCGAGGGTGAAAAAGAAGCAGCAGATGCCTCCACGGCGTGACAACGCTGAGGCTCTGACGAGCGCACAATCTGCTGCCCCCGCGCTGCGCTAGGGTATCGCTGCCCTTGCAGTGGTAACGCAGTGGTAGCTGGCTGCTGCCTTTGCTGCAACAGCAAGGCGCGCCGCATCCATCCAATACCGTGCCTGCTGATGCGCGTATTCTACCACCAGGCCCATCGCTAGAGCCCCCACCTGATCCGGTGAATGGCCAAGTTGCACTTGGGGCAGCGCAGAAGCTGCTCCAGGTCTCTCTGCATGTACGGCCACGCCCTCGGATGGTAGTCGGGGTGGGAGGCCACACACCAATAACAAAATACATGGGAGCAGTTGCTGCTGCGGAAGGGCAGCAGTGGTTCCTGCTTGCAGAAGACGCACCTCTTCTCGCGCTGCTGTATCTGACTGTCAGGAGTAGCAGGGTGGAAAACGCTCCCGTGCGACAGCGAAAGCGCCGCTTTCGCTGCTGCCGAGGGCGCCAGAGGCGACTGTGAAGGCGAGTGTGCGGATGCATCTGCTTGGTCCGGCTTGGACTGAACGACAAAAGCACACGAAGAAAAAACATGGGCTACAATAGGCAGGCCCACCCAAAAGCGGCTAACAAGGTATGCTCAGAAGGCATGATAGAAAGGGAGATAAAACCGCGAGGGGCCTATAGTCCTAATGCTGGCTGCCCCAGCCACGAGAGCTACACCACGCTGAGCAAAACCAGCCGCCAAGCCCCACCCCAGAGAGCGGTGTGAAACAGGGGGAAGGAGGGACGGGCTAGCACGCGCGAAAAGTGGCATAAGAGGAGCGAAGGCCACACAGAAAAGAGGCATGTGGAGGATCGCGCGCGGCAAAAACAAGGTCTAGACGTGAAAGCCGTGCCCCTAATAGGCCCGAACTGTTCAGCAGGCACACGCTGCAGTAGGACTGGTTGGCGTACGATCGATCCTGTCGTAGCATCGTGTGGCGTTTCTGCCTGCTGCTTCTGCTCTGTCTCGGTTACAAGGGGGTGGACTTGCAGCCCAATATCCTGCAGGACCCTTTGCAGAGCTTGCTTGGTGCTGCTCAGCAGCGTCATTCCTTTTTTGCACAGGCCCCTCGCGGGCTGCGCAACGGCAACAGCGCGGTGCTCCTCTGCGCCAGAGCCTTGCTGCGGCTGCTGTCGCTTGTGCAGAAGCAGCCGCAGCTTCAGCATCGACGCTGCCACTGCAGCGCGAGCGGGGACCAGTAGGTTCTGTCCGAGCATGCGCCGCAGAAGCAGCAGATCGATATGGGGCAGCAGCAAAAGCAACACATGGGAAACGCTCTGCCAGTAGAGCTGCTGCTGCAGCAGCTCAAAAGACAGGGAGCGGCGCAGGGAAGGATGAATGTGCCTCATCTCCAGGTTTAGCAACCAATCCCCCAAGCTCCTGTGTCTCCCTCTGTAAAGAAAGTAGAAGAAGAAACAAAAACGGGAGAACGACAGCAGCAAATCTGCACACATACAACACCTGTACAGAAATTCTACCGATTGCTCTGCTGCCGTCAAGCAGGCCACGGCCTCACCAGCAGCAGCGTCCTGCAGCCGCGACTGCTGCTGCTGCTGCTGCTTGTGCAGCGTTTGCTGCGCTTCTTCCTGCTGCTGTTGCATGCGCTGCCGATGCTGGGCCTGGGCAACGTTGTACCGTCTGATTCTTTGCTCAATGGCTGCTTGCTGCTGTTGCCTCTTGAGGTGCAGCTGCAGACGCAGGAGCTGGTACAGGTAAGGCAGCAGCACATGCAGCAACAGCACTCCCAGCTTATGCGTCCAGGGCAGAGGCTGCTGCTGCAGCAACGCATGTTGCTGCTTCGTCATCAAGTGCAGCAGCACGCGTTGCTGCTGCTGGACTGCGGCAGCAGGAGCAGCAAGGGGTTCACGCTGCAGCTGCTGGAGCCGCTGCTGCTCGCGCTGGAGCCGCTGCTGCTGGAGCTGCTCCCCCCCACAGTATTTAACATTTTGCAGCAAATCGCCAGGGGTAGGCCTGTCCCTTGCCGTCGACACAGCCCACAGGAAGAGGTGCAGCAGCAGCTGCAGTTCGTGCTGCCGCTGCTGGAGCCACGGCGCAGCGCCACGCGTACAGTGCAGCAGCAAATCCTGCAGTAGCAGCACAACCTCGTTGTTCACACGAAGGGCATCTAGCTGGTTGACGCGTTGGGTAGGAAGAGAAGGGCGGCCAAGTGGGGAAGCCCTCGCATGTCCTCGTGACTGTGCCGGGGGGGTGGCATTCAAGGCTGCCCTATTTGATCGAGTCGCGTGGTGCGCCTCTGTCGCTCTTTGTTCCGTAGTCGCTGCAGCTGCGGCGGAAGCACGTGCCTGGGAAGTCGCTTCTTGCGGTGGGGGTGTGGCGACGGCATGCGCAGCACTGCTGTCGTCTGGGGAGGCCCCCGGAGGGGCCTTTGAGGGACGTTCGGAGCTGGCGTCATGACTTGAAAGCTCCAGTTTCCGAGCCTTAACGCGATTTCGACTAGGGCGCTTCACCTGCTTCAGGAAAAGGCGTTCTACGGCTTGCCGCTGTCTCCCGAAGGGCTTCAGGAGTTCGCCTCTTCTAGGAGGGCATACAACGAGACGGGGCAGAGGGGCCGCTGTGGGGGGCCCCCTGGGCCTTGGGGCCCCCTCTTGCGAAAGGGGATTCCCCGGAAAACTTTCCTCAGCGCCCTCCTGTTGGAAGGCCCCTACGGAGCTTCCAGGACGAGGCGAAGGAGGCATGCTGAGGGCCCCCAAGCAGGCTGTGGCGTCAGAAGAGGCTTCTGTGACGACAGGCAACGCGGTGTTTCCCCCTTCCAATTTCGCTGGGGGCCATGTGTTCGCGTCAGAGTGAGCTGCCGGTGCGGCGGCCGCTGCAGCAGGGGGCGCTGCTACTGCTGTCTCCGCTGCAGCGGCTCTTCTTGGGGCCCTCTCTGCTGCTCTGTTGCGGGTACTGCCGAGGGGGTCGCTCCATGCATTGTCGCAACTTTGCCCCTTCATGTTCAGGCTGGCACCCTGGCTCTTGGCCAGCGCAAGTTGGCTGCCTGTCCCGCCGTTCGAGCACACAAAGCAGCAGCAAACGCAGTCGCAGCCAACGCAGTAGCCGCATAGGCGGAACAGAATGCGTGGAAGGGGGGGGGCCCTACACAACTGAGCAGGAGCTGCCAAAAGACACGCAAGGCCTCCTAAGTCCCACGGAGACAGGGCGTTTCTTGCTGTCTGCAGCTGTCCGTTTTCTTAGTTTATTGCGGTAAGCTTAAGACCCCAAAACGCGCTCAAGGCCGAGCTTTCAACCACGGACAGGAGTTGCAGTGTGGCGGCGCAGTCGAGTGACTCGGAGTTTGCCGGGATCGGCGTGAGTCAGCGCCTTAGGCTGCCCCAGCTAGGGGTGCACGGTGGTATCTGTGGTGATCTAAAGGCCCTAATTATGCGCTTTCTGTGCAAAGGACTGCAGAAAATACGGTTTATCCGTGACTGTCGACGTGGTGTCTTTGCAGCCACGACACGGTGATGCTGGTGTGGCAGCCAGCAGTGCCCGACTTCACTCGGACGGCTCCATAAGAGTAATGCCTACAGTAAGCCGGTTCAATACTCTGCTTGATACGATTCTTCCTCCCAGTATGCCATCTTGCGCTCTTGTGGCACCTCGAGGCTCAAACGATATAAATACCACACAGTGCGAGGCGGCCCCCAGCCGCTGAATCAGCAGCGCGAAACGCCGAAACCGAAGGCGCTAGTCCTGAAAAAAGGTCTCCTCAAGCGATAAGATTAGCTCTAACATAAAGGGCCGCCACTGTTCATCACGACAGCTCTTGTATTTCGCGCAATGCCGTGAAGCGGCTGTTTCCTGCCTGTACATGGCTTGCAAATTGTTGCTGCTGTGGACTTTGATTGTTGCCCCCACGTGCTGTTGCTTCTGCGGGCGCTTCTCCACTCGTATTCGCAATGACAATGCCGGTGTAAGCACGTGCGCTCCCTCTCGGAGGCTGCATGCTTCCTTCCTCTCTGAGGGGAGCTGCTCCTGGAAGGGGCCCTCGGATGCCAACTCAGTCGAGTGGTTCTGCCCGCGCGGCCAGACTCAGCAGGATCTCCACCAACAAGAGCAACAGAAGGAACAAGGACAGCATGTGTTTAAGAGAGGACAACAGGAACGAAACCTCCTGATGCGGCGGCTCGAAGGGCAGCGACTCGAGCAGCAGCTGCACGCGCTGCACAGTTCAGAGGTTCGGTCCGTGGTGCTGCGCTCACACACAATTCAATGTATTGACTTAGGAACGAGCAAGACAGGCATTGCCACGGCAGTTCGTCGGCTGCCCTCCACCTCCAGGTGGCCCTCTGCTCCTGTTGCCGCCGCTGAGGACCTCCATCAGCACTTTGAAGCTACAGAAGAGCTTCTTCTGTCTTCCGCAGATCTCACTGGCGTGTTCTCCGTTGCCCAGTTAAAGGTTCTTCAGCACGAAAGGAGCCATGCCGCGTTGGTCTCGCTGCTGCTGCTGCAACGGCAGAGACACCAGGCGGACCTGTTAATGCTCGGATTGCCTCTGAATCCTATACTTCCCCGTCATCTTCGGTAAGATAAGACTAGTACATATAGCCTGTTGGCTGTCACGATGCTGCTGGCTATTCTTGGTGCCGTTCTTAGGAAGGTGTGTTGTCGCTGCTCCTGCTGTTATAGGAACGCTCCTGTGGCGCTTATTGCTGCATGCTCCCTCAGCTTTAGGACGCCGCGGATGCTTCGGCACTTATCGATCGCCAGGAAGCTTCAGCTTGCCTTGGCGAAGGCAGGAAAGGCAAAAGGAACTGCCCCAGTCTCCGTGCTGCTAGCGGATGAAAGCTACAGCACGTGGACAGCCCGCAGGCGGCAGAAGGAAACCAGTTGGAGGCACGATAAAATTGTGGCGAAGCCGGTTGATTCCAGTGCTGCTCTCGAACTATTTAATGAACTCTTGACTGCGGCTGCTGCGCCTGAGGGCCCTACCGGTGTACTGAGGTTGGCAGTGCCTAGGGCCCCCCTTTCACGGCTTAAGGGCTCTGCTTTTCGGGATACCTAGAGCTGACCGCTTGCGGTTTCACATTTCGGTGTAGAGTCTTCAAAGTGGGAGCATTAGGACTTTGCCAGGAGCCCCTCACTGCACGTTTGAAACTGCCTGCAGCCGTATGTTGGAGATCTTCTGCCGGTGTAGCGGCGTACTGACGGAGTCAGCGAGTAATGAAATAGAGATGCATCTGCATCTGCAAAATGATCATCGGGTACAGCGGTACACGAGTATGAATCTTCATCCTTGCCTCAGCTTCGGCTATATATGTTACCAGGCGTGAGGAGCTGCAATGAGATGTTTCCACGTATACTGTCACACTGCAAGCGCAGATGTGCTATCCCCATGGATACACATATGTGTACACCGCTCAGTGTTTGTGGTTTGAGAGGTACATTTATGAACACAGCGAAAATTTCTTGAAATCGATGTCTTGTGAACGTGGGTGTGTCGGTATTCACGAGCTTCCGTAAGTGAAGCCGCGTAGATAGACCCAGGGAGGCAAAAAGAGCGCACCGGAGCAGGCGCGTCCAAATCGAAAAAGGTGTGGGCACACCAGGCACCATTTACGAAGAGGGCGAGAGGCAGGTAACAGAATGCAAGGGTAACGAAAAGCGGCGCTAAAAACAAAACGGAAGCGGTAGAGGGCGCGTACAGGCGTGGTGATACCGGCGTAGCCCCTCCTTAGGCAAGGCAGAAGCTCGCTCTCAGGTGACGCATAATCGCTTGTGTGGGCAAACGATTTGCATCTGTTGCTTGTAAGAGGGTGTATAGCAATGGTTGATGAACGCATTTAGACTTCCTCTACTCATGCATAAGTCGGTTTCTGCCCCTATTTGGAGAAATACATCTTCAGCCTGCATACGTAATAGCGCTGAATAATTGCCGTGTAGCGTTTGCAGTGCAGCACTATGTAGTAGGTTATGCCGTTGCAGCGTGATCTATCCAGCAGAAGCAGTAGTGACATCACACCAAAAATTTGTGCACAGAATACCGTTCCCTGTACTGCGAAAGTAACAACGAAGTGGGATGGAACCTTGGCAGGCATTCGGGCTTTCTGCTTCACACATCGTATTGAACGCACTAGTATGTATACACACGTGACTAAATGTCAAAGACGCCCCCCGGATTCCACAGCTGGACACATTCGAGACTGTGGCTGCTAGGCGTTTCGTAGGGGTACGAGTTTAAATCCCGGTGCGGTCGCCTGGCCCTGTTTCTGCTATCTGTTTCCTTTCCATTAGCTTTGGTGCAGTATCTTCAATTTCGACACACACGGCGCTCCCACTAGACCGCTCTGCTTCAGTCGGAGGATTTCAGTGACTCGGAAAACTTCTGCCAACCATGCTCTGTGGTCCAAACGAATAACGCAGCAAACAGAGAAGCAAGTCCGTAAAGCGGTACCGGCAGGGCTCGAACCTGCGACCTTGTGGTTAACAGCCACACGCTCTAACCGGCTGAGCTACGGAACCGTCCACCGCGGCCCCCAATGTTGGCAGACAAAACTACAAGCTTCGTGGCACCGCAACCACATTTGCTACGGCTTCGGGATGTGCTTGCGTGCCCAGATCTAAGAAGCTATGGATACTGGAAGGACTGGATGAGCAGACCTCTAGACTAGGACATGTACTTGCCCCAGTAGACAATCCTCTAGATTGCCTTAGGCGCACAGGTTGGCCTACAACCATAAAAAAGACTTCCTAAGTGTACTAGCGGCAAGCTTTCTGAATTACCAAAGGCATTAAGATACCCCTGATCCTCTATATTTTTAATGTAAGTAGGGTCATGTCTACACACATATATTTTTTGCCTGTTCAGGTCTTTGCATCAGGTTATCTCCATAGAGAAATCTTCTTAAGTATCTTGAACAAGTTATGCATAATAAAGATCTTCGCAAAGTAATTTGATATTTGTTTTAGTGGAGGAGTACGAATGAGCATGCATGTAGAGCAACACTAACTTTACATCTCCATTCACACCATGAATTCAGAAAACACTTTTTTGGCACAAGTACATTATCTACTTTATAAGTTCGCTACGAATATTAACGGAATGGCCAAACTAATGAGAAAGCGTCTCTCGGGAGGCACCAGTTCCGTAGCTCAGCAGGTTGGGGGTTGTGTCTGTTAACCACAAGGTCGCAGGTTCGACTCCTGCAGGAAGAGTATCTCTTTAGAAAGCAGCGTTATGCCGGATGACACACCAGCTTCGAAGCAAAGATGTGCATTCTTTCACATGAGCATACTGCACGCCGCGTTGGTGAACGAGTGGCCAAAGTAATGGGACTACAGGGCTTTGGAAAATTTTGGTTCTGCTACAGGAATATGTGGGCCTTGTGTTGTTAGGCGGGAAGATTGGAGGCTGTCTACTTGGATGTTAAACTCTAGGTTAAGTCAAACAATTGAGTACATTTAAGTACAAGTGTTGCGCTCTATACACCCGCATACACAGTAACACAATTGACGTGCCGGCGATGATGTGTCTTTGTATATTGTTCAATGCGTTTTGAGTTGGCATCTCTTGTACAGCTAGCTAGCTTCAAGCGTCGGGTGGGCCCATTATTACGCCTTATATCTGTTTCTACACGCGTGCAAGTGGGTTCGTATCATTGCATAGAACACATTGCATGGTAAAGCTGTGCTCCGTCTTCCTCCGGAAGGCTTTATGGAGAAGCTGTTGAAATTTAAGGAAGGGTTGAGATCCCCACCTGGTTAATAGCTGATGGATGGTGGCTCTGTAAAAAGGAACCTACAGATGTCTTCGGTTTTTCGTGCATTTGGAGCTCCACTTTTGCCGTCGACACAAAGCCGTTTGCAGGGAAATCTTATCTCCACGTCCGTACACTAAATAGACTTTTATTAAGGACTTATACGGTCACAATGATATGCCTCAATCCCGACTGCCGCTGCAATTGCAGCTACGTGTATCGATGGCATATTTATACACGCCTAGGTTGCACTTCACTCTGTCTACAGCCAATCCACCCACTGGAGTTGGGGCAAGCACCAGTAGGGGAAAATCGCAGAGCTTTTGGAGGGTGGAAAAAAGCGGTGGAGTCCGTTGTCAAAGTCAGAAATATCTGACAAATGCTAGGGACAAACGGGGAAGGAAATGGATTTAGGATCAGAAGGACAGAAAGGGCACAGATGGCACAATGACATGTAGGGGTTAGGGGAAATCTTTATTAAGGAAAAGGTTAGGAGGTATGAACGTAAGAAAGGCAGAGAAACCGAAAATAAAGCACAAAAGTGTGTTTGCATGAGCATGACGCTCACCCCTACTAAGTATGGAAACAAAAAAGGAGTGTGCCTTTTCATGAAGTAAGATAGTGTCGCAGGAAAACTGAGCCAAGTCTTGCTGTGTCTATCTTTGAGCCTGCTGCTATATTGGCCCACCTTGCATGTACCAGGCCATATAAATTCTAGTTAAACTGCTTTCGGCCATAGATTCCATCAAAACCACCTTACGAAATGCAACCGTCGCTGCGGCCGGCTGAGTGCAGCTGCTCCAGAAGCAGGAGCGGGAATCGATATCATTCCTACTGCTGTAGCAAGGGGAATCACATGAAACAGCCTGGCCACGTCAGGGGGACCACCACCAGACTGTACACCATATCAGCTGGAAGCAAGCAACGATATCAGTGGAAAAAGCCGCAACGCCACTGGTTGAAGCCTTTAGACGTGTTACTGAAGAGAAGGCAGATTGTCGCACAAAGCTGCCTCGAAACTTTGAAATTCCGGCTTTTAGACTTTAGGCAATATGCGGAAATGCTTTTTCAGCCTTCTGAGCTCCGAGTGAAATTTTCATTCCCTACCACTCTAGTCTCTAAAAAAACTGTTTATCGCCCAGCTGGCGAGAAGTTTTAGTGTGTCCCCTTCAAAGGAACATCGAATGAGCTGTAGCGCAGCTGCTGCAAGACAGCACGAGCACCTTAGGGGGCTTTTAATTGGCTTCCCTCTTTTTTCAGTGGGTGTATTTACCGTCTGGTCCCTAGTATTTCCAGACTACATACACGCTGCACACATCAACATCCGTTTGCGATGTGTGCGGCACTTCGCTGAAGCATCATTTTAAATACTTTTCTTGAAGGCAGAGAAGCATAAAAGGCCTACATAAGGCTGCTTTTTTTTTCTTTTTACTCACTGTTTTTTCTGCGCCTAAAGCTCCGCACGCAACTCGCCATCACGCGTTGTGCTGCGCGGGTCTCGGATGACTTCGTAGACGCCATGTAAGTCCCTTCTTACTCCTGTTTTAGACTGCTTAATACATCGAATTAGAGAAGCTATCTAAAAGAAGTCCAAGCAAGGGAAAATTTTGCCACAAAACGGCAGCTGTTCTGCGGGGCCAGTCAGCCTTGCCGGCTGTCGCTGTCCACTGGCTCTGAACAGCGAGTTAGCCAGGGAGGACCAGCCAGACACTGTCTCTAGCCTTCCTTCCCCTTATGCACATCCAAAATAATGAGACGTTTAAGCCTCAAGAATGTCATTTTGTGCTACCAAAGGACAACGGGAATAAGACCACGTGAGCTTCTCCCAGTTGGCGCCTGTCTCCTCTCCGGCCAGCGGCCCTTCCGAGGCGCACTGCCCACCGCAAGTGACATTGGACCATTCTCCGAGCTGAAGTCTGTAGCTCTAACTATTGAAGTCTATTAAAGGTTATCTTACTGTCGGGTTTGCGGTGTCTCCTTCCTCCCTTGCCCCGTAGGACCATGGGGTGTAAGCCCTCGACGCTCGGGCCTCGCGGCCGACCCTCCGAGGCAGTTGCCGCTGGTCTGATTGCTGCGGCACCAGCCCCCACTGCTTATACAGACGCTGCAGGCACTGAATCCGCTGCATTAGACTCCCCTCGCAGCGGCTTCAGCCAAGGCAATGCAGGCTCATCCCTCCGGCTGCGTCTTGCCTCCCTAAAGCCTGATATGATGATGAAGTCCTTATCATCGCCTCGCCAAACCCTAGCAAGCGGCTACGACAAGCTCAAAAAAGGGGCTTCTTCGCTCCGTCAAGCGATCACTCCCCATACAACTCCAGGGGCCTCACCGAGGGAGGAGGTGACCCCGGACGGCCCGGGAGGACCCCACTCGATAGCCAGTAATGCTATCAAGGAGGCTGACAACCCCGCCTGTCTCGACGTGGCTGAGACGAAGAGCCAAGCGGTTACCGGCACCATGCACACGGTTGTGGAGCCTGCTGGAGAAAAACGGCACGAAGGAGAGGATGTAGAGGAAGCCGATATCCTCAATGCGGATGTACTGCCTTCCCCTCAGCAGTTAAAAGCCCTTTGGATCCTCATGAAATTAAACGCAGCTTCTTCGTCCCAACAGTCTATGCGCTGGCTACATGACCTCGAAGTCCTCCTCGTCGGCCTAGACCCCATCGAAAGGCAACAGCCGGTATGCCGCGCCTACCAACGCTCTCGCTGCTGAGACTTCTTCCCACACACAGGCAGCCGCTGCTATACCCCCCGCAATATACGGGAGTGGAAGCACCTGTGGCCTTGCTGCAGTCACTTGATGTGGTGTACTGCGTTCTGAGGCCCCTCTACCCTGCTCCCTGCCTGACGGGGAGCCTGTCTATTAAGCTGTGCTCAAAGTCCACCGCCTCATCAAGCGCCCCCCTTGGCATCTGCCCTGCGCTTCCTACTAAGCTAGGCTGGCCGAACTGGTCTGTGTTCATGCCTCTCCTGCGTATACCCTCATCCCCGTGGACGCTCTCCCTTCATTGATTTCCTCCATCGATTTTCTTGCTGCCTTTATTTCTGTTGTGCGGGCAACACGTAAAAAGTGCCGCCGCAGTAACTACAGAACTTCCTCCCACTTGGTGCCTGTCTTCGGTTCTTTGCACTATCGATTGTGGCCATACCAGTGAAGTGCGCGTCTCGGTCTCAGCGAAACCCAACAGTTTTTCAATACGGCTTCTCTCTCTGAATGACCCTGCCTTTCCCTCAGCGTGCACCCCCTGTGCATGGATCCCCTCTGCCTGCATACAAGCCACCACGAACTAGTAGGCACTGACTTCGTGCCTTTTTCTGCCCTGTCTGATCTGTTCCAGCATTTACCTTGTCTCGCTTCTTTTGCCTATCAGACCCGAAGCATCCTGGTGGAGGCAAAGGCCCTGGAGGTTTGTTTGAGACCTCTCACCAGCTGCCCCGAAGAGACGCAGCTGTGTGTTTCATCTCTGGCCATCATTGTGCATCTCTGCATGGCGAAGGAAGCCTCGGAGAGGCTTCAACAACTTGGGGTACATCCAAGTCTTATGCATTCATGTAATGTTCCTCATAGGAAGCAAAAATTCCAAAAATCCAAACCATTGCAGCACCCCTTGCAGACCCATCTGTACTAAAATGTACCTAAAACCCCTTGTGCAACTTCCCGTGCTGGATAGGCACCGCACCCTGATCTTGTGTGATGGGCTACAGCAGCGTTGGATGCCGCCTGAAGAACCCTCCTGAACGAGGGAGTGCGTGTGTTTTGACGTATTTGCCTCAGGGGATCGACATAACTGCCAAAATTCTAAAGAAATACTTCGCAAAAGCAAAAAAAGTGCTGAAGGAGATATCACTGATGCATGTACAACCAGAAGGGGCACACTCGGTGGCAGCTACCCCTATGGGCTCTGAGCAGCAACAGCATCCTCAGCAGTCTCAGCAGCAAGTGCATCCAGAGGTGGAGCAGCAGGCCGACGCCTTGAAGCCAGAAACTCCTGAGCCAAGCCCAACAGCAGTCCCCGTGGACGAATCCGCCGCTCAAGCTGCACAGGAGCAACCCAATGTTCAGGTAGCAGCAGCTGTCGAAGGCTCTGTAGAATCCTGCGAAGCAGCTGTTCCTGCAGTGCCCCAAAACACTCCCTCCGTAAGCACCCCCATGCCTGCTTCAGCCGTCGGTGCAGCTGAATCTGCTTCCCCCAACACACCAGGATCAAAAGAAGAAGCACCAGAAGTAGCGCACGTGGAGGCTGCAGAGCCGGCGGAGGCCTCAGGACAAGCAGAAGCAGCAGCAGCAGCACTAAAACCAGCTGCAGCAGCCCCGGAGCAATCCGTCGCATCACAGCCAGAAGCGTCTACAAAGGCCCAAGGCGGCAGCAACGGCCAGATGGCTGCTCTCAAGCGAGCCTGCAGCAAGCTACAGCAACAGCTTCCCCTGCTACTGCAGCAGAAGCTTGGCACGGCCACAGATGTAGCGGTATCCCAAGAACAGTACGACTCGGCGGTTAGGGAGCTCAGACTTCTTATTGAGTTCATGACGCTCGTTTGGAGACTGGTCTTCGCCACCAGCCTTGATGGGGATGAATTCGCGCAGGTAAGGATGAAGTCAGATTACAATATAACTGTCCTACGAAGGACTTGGGGAGGGGAGGGGGGCGATGGGACGGCGTTTGTTGGGCAGAAGAGAAGCCGTAACCGCTCATAGGGTGGCTGATGTAGACCTGTATACTACGCCGTGCTCTATGGCGGAGAAAACCACGCTTCTGCTTGTAGGAAGCAAAGAGCTTCCTCGCGGCGTGAGCAGCGTGAACGCGCCTTGTGTGAATATGGCTTGTTGCAGCGGTGGGCGAGTCTTGGCGTGCCGGAACTAGCGCTGGAGGCTCTGTCCTCTCAGGAGGCGCCTTTTCAGGAGAACGGATTTGTGTGCTGGGGCTTAGGTGCCTTGCGATTCATTCCCCTAGCAGTGCCTTCGGTGACTGAGGCATACGTGCAGTCCAAGTCGCTGCTGGCTGTGGCCTTTGATCGCATGGAGCTGTACCCGCGGGATCCTCTAGTCCTTGAAAACGGCCTTGCAGTGCTCGCTAATTACCAGCGGAAGCAGCCGAATAACAGCAGACTCTTCAGCCGCCAGAGGCCAGAGGTGAGCAAACAAAAGCATGCTCCCTTGACGCAAGTGCAGTGCCCGCTGCGCACATTCGACTCTAGAACCTACTCCCTCTCTGGCCACACAACCGCTTCAGCCACAGGAATTTGACCTACCTGCATAGGGAAGTGCCGTACCAGATGTGTGAATTAGGTGGGCGGAAGAAATGTGCGGATTCTAGCTCTACCCATTCATGGCTTTTTGTGGGAGAGCAGTGTCCGTTGCATGAAGGTCTGCACCATAGCTGTCTACCAGCCTTACCTGTGCATCAAACTTTGTCAGAAGCCCTAGTTTTAGCTCTCAGGGGTAGTCGTGCTTTCGCAGGCGTGGTCCAAGTGCGTCAGCTGGCTGTTAGAAGACGCCTCTCTGTCGCGGATCGACGTTCTCTTCCAAGGGCTCTTCGCCCTTGGGCTCGCTTGCAGCTACTGTCCCGTTGCAGCCAGACGTGTCTGGTAGGCGCTACGTAAACAAGAACATATTCGCTACACTTGCCTCTGCCCTCCATTTACCCCCCGTTTTTCCTTATTGGCAAAGTGCCTTCCTTCACTGTAGCAGCGGCAAGCCGCCGAGCTGCATACAGCCTTTCTGCCTACCCCCTCCGTTCCGGTTTCTGACTGTATTTTTGCAACAGTCATACTACTTGTCAGCTGCTGCCATGCTTTTGTTTCTGACCCTCAACCAGGCATGCCGGGGGCCTCGCACTCACCGACAGAGTACTTACGGCTCATGGGGATTTGCCCAGAGAGTCCTCAAGCTCCAGCACGACAGATTCCAAGTTGGCAACTTTGCAACAGTTCGCTGAGGGTCTTAAGATGCTGCTGCTGCGAGCGCAAGAAGCGGAGGCCGCAGAGGAGGCAGCAGCCAAGCGTGCAGAGGACATTGCAGCTCTTGGTGAGACTGAACCCCAAGCAGAGAAGGCACCCGATGCTGAACAAAAAGGCAAAAAGGAGAGTAGCCCGGAGGGGCAGGAGTGTCCTGCCGAAAAGCCTCCTACACCAGCAAATTTGCCGGGTGTGGTCACAGCCGAAAAGTCCCCACAGCAAAAGGAAGGGTTGCAGGAGCCTCCCAAGCCTGCTGAGCCCGCCCCTCCAGCGACAGTAGCCGAAGCGGAGTCTGAAGGGCTAAAAGAGACCTGCAAGGAATCAAAGGATGCTGATTCGAAAGAAGAGGAGGCTAAGAAAAGCGCGCGAGGGGCACAAGAGGTGCACTTCGAGCAAGCGGAACGACCCTAGTGTAGCACCACATGAACGTCACACTGTATAGAGTTTTAGGTAAGGAAAAAAGGAAATAGCCAAGTACATGGACACACAACTCTCACAGCGGTTGAGCTATCGTGGCAGACAGCGTGTCGTGGGCATGACTAATCTACGCTAAATGCCCCATTCAGCCTCATGCAGAGTAATGCCTCATACTTTTTGCTGGTGTTCCCTGTTGCATGTATAGCAGAGGAGGGAAGACGCCTCAGCAGCGGGGACTGCCGCAGTGGATTCGCTTCGTGCTATTGGGTCGCTGCAACCATGTTTTTGTGCTTGTACACAGGGAGGGACACTCTAGCAGAAGCTGACACCTCTTGATTGCACCTGCGGAGGAGAAACAATAGTGCTTCGGGGGCAGAGAACAGAATTTGGAGCCCCTGTGCAACAAGGTGTCCAGCTGATGATAAGAAGCGTCTGTTTAAGGTCTTAGTGGACTGCACAGATGGCTCGATGTGAATTAACCAACTTTTTCGTTGACTGCTCGCGTAGTTCAGGTAATAAGGAACAGGGAAAAGCGCTGTTTTGTGTATGCCTACTTCTTACATGTGATGTGGGACTAGAGCGGCTCCAAGTACTGAATGCTTATCGCGGCGGCTATCGGTAATCTGTTGTATTTTCATCCTATGGCCGTTGGTTTGTGGTTTTCTCGCTAGAGCGCCCCTCAAGGCAACTGCGTCGTTGCCGCCTCAGTCTTTTCATTTTTGTGCTGCCTGTCGGGACATTGCCTGACACACTTTCCACTAGAAAAACGAACGGATAGCGGCGCTATTAAAAACGTGCATTGCCGTTTTTAGGTGTATAGACAGCCACCTCTGCTGGCTCGCGTGCTTCACGTGGCTTTTGAGCTTGTCACACTTCAGATGTATGCACACCCCTCAGTCTGTCCCTCCCTACCCGTATATATTGTGTGATTATTCTGATCGCTACCTTTCCAGTTAAGCATTCTGGGTGGCCGCAGCTCCTTGTGAAGTGCCTCCTTGTGTGAAGGCGCTGCGGACCTGGAAGTTGCGCAGGCAAACAAAGTTTTTAAATCATTGGGGTGTGCCTCTACACCTGAAGTGCGTCCTCCAGTGGAATTAATACAAAGTACCAATAGGACATGAGGTCCCTGCATTACCAGCAATTAGCTTGTGTGCCAGCCCGCTAGGCCCGGCACCGATCAACCAAGCAGCTGGCACCAGCTAGATTCTCGACTCTTGCAACTAACCGCTGCCCCCTACGAAATGGCAGCTTGGCAGCACATATACATGCAGGGATTACCCCTTATCAAATGCAGTAAAGCCAATCGATTAAAGCATATGTATTGTGTCTTAAAAACAACACTGCAAGCCACACAACTAGGATCAAGGGCTCATTACGGGCTTCGTTATGCAGCACAGAAAAATGCCACTGGTCTGCCCGACATCCGCAGGGAAATAGCAGCTGCTGGGCCTGGGTAGCCTGCTACTGCTGTTGCTGCTGCTGTCGCTGCTGCTCCAGCAACTGGGGTGTCTCGGAAGATCCGGCATCGTTTCCAGCAAGGAAGGCCGTGCCGGCCAAATAGTGTGGCTTTCCATAAACGCATAAGCATCTACAAAGCCCCTGCAAGGGCTGCGCGTGACAGGGCACATCAGAGGCTCGGTTTGGAGAACATTAGCTCCTGATGCGGGGGTGCTCTCCTGCCTCGTCGGACCGCCAAGCAAAGCGGCAGTGTGGCGAGGCTGTGGAGGTCCCCGCTCATGAAGAGAGCCTTTATGAAGGTCCTCTCGAGGAGCGTCGGCTTTGGTTTTGTCAATGGAAGACACTTCTTCTTTCGGGGGGTGCCGCTCCGGGGAGGCGCTCTCGAGACCCTTTGGATCTTCCTTGGAGAGGCTACAGGCACCCTGATCTATCGAGGTATCTGCGAACGCAAGGCCCCTGCACGGTAGGGGGAAGAGGGCCCCCCTCCGCAGCCGCAGCAGCTGCAGCACTGCTTCCTCATTCTGCCTACAGTCGCTGCTACAGCTGCTATACACTAAGAGGCCTCCAGGAGCCAACAGCTCGTACGCCCTATTGAGCAGCTCTTGTTGCAAACACACTAGGCCTTCGTAATCGGCTAACATTTCTCTAGAGGGGGAGGCCTCCTCTAGATCTCCCTCAGAGCCTTCACGCTGCCGCGCGGGGGCTGCCAAAGGGCCATGCTGCTTTTCCTGATCCTGCAAATGGGGAATCTTCAACGGCCGTAGATCGCTGTCGCTTAGCTCTGTCTCGCGCTGGTGGGGTTGCTGCACTTCCTGCGCCTGTGGCTGTTCACAGTCCCGACGCAGCAGCACCTGTGGCTCTGTCGGTTGTTGTGGAGGCTGCTGCTGCTCTTCAGACATCCCCCGGTGTGTCTGCTTGAAGCTCGGCTGTTGCGCACACTGCCGTTGGGCCTGCTGCACTAGCAGCTGCTGCTGCTTGTGGTGGTGTGCTTGCGTGATGAATTCCTCCTGTTGGCGTTGCTGCTGCTGCAGATGCTCTCGCGGAGGAGGAGCCTTAGAAAGCACTTCCATGAAGCGCGACAGGTGCCTTATGCTGGCGTCGTGAGTACACTGTACATCCAGCAGCACGCGATCGAACTCTGAAAGCCGCTCTGGAAGCGTGCAGTTGCATTCGCCGTGGCAGCTGCCGTGGCAAGCTCTATTTCTATCCGTTCTGCTGTTAGGACTGAAATCATCTCGCCCTTCACCGCTTTGAGAGCTGTCCATAGGGAAGCCGCTAAGGATGTTGCTGCTCGAGGCACCAACATCAGGGAGCAGACCTGCATCTTCCTGCACCGCATCACTGCTCGTGCAAATGCGGATGCAGCTCCCCCTGCCGCCGCTCGTAAGAGTGGCAGCAGGGGCAGCTGCTGCTGTTGCAGCAGGGGCAGCTGCTGTTGCACAACTTGTTATGCCTTCGTTCATTGAAACTTGATCCCGTGCTGCAACCTCCTCAGACGCAGTCGGAAGCATTTTCCTGACTCTCGCATTTCTGCTGCTGTTGCCGCAACTGCCCTCGATTGCCGTGTTGGAGTCCTCTTGCAGCAAAACAACAAGTGGTATTTCTTGAGCCTCCTGTCGCTTGCGTTCCTTTTTTCTGGCAAGACGTCCTTGCTTTCTGGCGAGACTCCCGTTCCCCAAGCTCGCTCCTGCTACTGTCTCTGAAACAGACAGTTCCCCTTCGCTCTTGCCGCAACGGCAGCAGCTGTTGCTACCAAACCGCCTTCCATCGCAGAGGACGAGAAGCCCGTTAGTGCACCCATTCTTCCGGAGAAGGCGACGGCAAAGCTCCATCCGAGAAGCGCTGACATCGACGCCTACCACTGCCCCGTTGCAGCATGTTGTTGCTGGTGCCGCTGTATTGGCTCCAGCAGGTGCTGCAGCTGTAGCTGCTGCTGCAGCACCTGCACCTGCCGCTGCAGACACGGCAGCAGCGAGCAGCAGCATTTTGTTGCCGGGAGCGCAGCAGAGGTCCAGACATCTGTTGCTGGGAACCGGTCGAAGTGCAGCAGCAACAGCAACAGAGGCAGCATCGACGGGGTGCAGCAGCTGCTGTCTGTACACCTGAGACTTGGGGAATCGCGCTTCGGGAGGCAGAGAGAAAACGGCAGGAAAAAAACTCGGAGTCTCCAGCCAGCAATTGCACATCGCCTTACACGGACTATCGCCAGTGCCGCTGCTGTTAAACCGATGCAGCGCAGGTGCACCTAACAAACAGCTGGGCAGCCACTGCTGCAGCTCGGGAGGCTTCTGCAGCTTCATTTCTTGACGCAACAGGCCCAATACACGCTGCAGGTACTGAGCATAAACCTCCGTATAACTTGCCGCCGCACTGCTGCTGCTAAGGCTATGGGCAGCAGAGTCAAGTTCTGTCAAGTGAAGTGGACACGAGAAGGCGGAAAACTGCGAGCAGAAACCTTTGGGGCGGAGCGCATCTACGTATTTCAGCGTGCAGGCGACACAAACGGCATCGTTGCCGGTGACGTTGTGAAAGGAGGGGCTAGTGGAGTGGTGGTTGCTGTTGTCACTGCTGGAGCAGCTGCTGTTGTCATTGCTGGAGGAGTTGCTGTTGTCACTGCTGGAGCAGTTGCTGTTGTCATTGCTGGAGCAGTTGCTGTTGTCATTGCTGGAGCAGTTGCTGTTGTCATTGCTGGAGGAGTTGCTGATCTTGCTGGAGGAGTTGCTGTTGTCACTGCTGGAGCAGTTGCTGTTGTCATTGCTGGAGCAGTTGCTGGGGGTGCTGTGCGTGCAGCTGCAGAGGGCAGCGGCTTTTTGTTGCGCTACAGAGCCTTCACCCCGTCGGTTGAGGGCTGGCGGGGGGAAAGGACACCAAAAGTATCGCGGCAATTGCTGCTGATGCTGTAGCAGCTGCTGCAGGCGTTCTTGCTGCAGCGCAGGAGTCTCCCCCCGCCATTGAGCTAAGAGGGCTGCCAGAGTCGGCGGAAGGTTTGTGCAGAGTCGCTGCCCTCGAACCTTCGTAGCGGCAGCAGCACCGGAAGACGGCGAGCTGTTGTTGTTGCTGCTGCTGCACGCGTTGCTCTTGTCGCCCATTCTGTCACTCAGTGCGCTGCAGCTGCTGCCGCTGTTGCTGCTGCCGCTGTTGCTGCTGCTGCTCCTTTCGCGCCGATAACCGGTGCTGCTGCTGCTGCATGTCTCGGCGGGGTCTAATAGCAAAGCAGACACCCCGAGCTGTGACAGAAGCTGCGGCAAAACAAGCCGCAGCCAGCCTGTGCAGCTGGAGGGAATCCCTGCTTCTGCTGCTGCAGTCGCGATTCCTCTAGGAGGGAGGCGGGGGGAGGTGAAGAGAGATCTCTGCGCCTTCGAGACAGTTGGCACGGTCTGTACGACTCCCGAATTTCCAAAAAATACAATACGGTAACACCGAAAAGAGGAAGATAGGACTAAGGGCACCGAAACTGCAGTCGCTCGCAAAGGATGCCTCGCTCCCTTCCGGCGGAAGCTGCTCCTGGGGGTGTCTGCTATGTCTGCGCGGGTGCGAGCACGCGAAGATCTTCCCGCAAAAGGCTAAAAGGACGGAAAATGCCTCAAATCTTCCAAAGAAGTGCCGCTGCGGGGGTGACTCCTGCACGCTTATATAGGGCGTAGCCGCAGCCGTCCTTTCTTGAGGGCCCTTGCGGGAACTGTAGCTGCTCTGCCGAGGAGGCGCTGCCGCATCACAGCCCAAGGCGCTGCAAGCTTCTTTCACGCAGTTCATTCTGCGTCCAATGCAATTTGGCGGAGTGCGAAACGACTTTTTGTTGCGTTCGAAGGGGAGCGAGCTCAGCGGAGGGGCCCCACACCCTCCTCCCCCCTGCCCCCTGCCCCCCTCTTCCTGGCTTCGAAGATCGCACTCCTCCCGTCGACTTTCTCCCCGTCCGCCTTCCACAAGCTTTAGCGCCACGCCTTCTCAGCGCAAGAAGGCTGTGGTGCAGTTTCTCCGGACCAGCGACGGCTCCTCGCCAGCCTGCATGCGAAGCCGCACTGTCTGCGAAGAAAAACGACAGGCAGCGCACGCAGCCAGCAACCTCCACTCTGTCCCTCTGATTGTGCGTGACAGTAAAAGACGTCTCTCTCTCGGAGGCGCTTCTTCTGCGTACACCCCGACGTTAGAGGCGGCGAGGCGGCCTTGGAAGCACACGCTGCAGCAGCTGCAGCAACAGCTGCTGCTGCTGCAGATTCACACACAGAGCGCTAAAGGCCAGAAACACGACCCCACCACGACCACGACTGCCACCACTCCTGCCCCCCGAATGTGCATCGCAGAAACTGCCGCAGCAGAAGCGGCAGCGGGGGCAGCAGCGCAGCCGCAGTAACACAGCCTCGTGAAGGAGCTCTGGGGAGCAAATCCTTCTCGCATGTGCAGGAGGCGGGGAGGGGCCTTTTAACAGCGTTGGTACCTCCGACAGCGATGGTGCCTTGCTGCTGCTGCTGCACTCACAGAGGGAGTGCTGGCCTGCTCGCGCTGTTGCTGCTGTCGCTGCTGCGTTTTCCAAGTTTCGCTGCAGAGACTGCAGAAAGAGCAGCCGCAGACAATGCCTCTCTTTACGCCGCCTTCCATCTGCAGAACGCCGAGGGCCCCCCGGCAGTGCCCTTGCAGCTGCAGCAGCAGAAGCCGCAGCTCGAAGGACAGCAACAGCAACAGCAACAGCAACAGCAACAGCAGCAGCAGCAGCGGCACGCGTTGATGCAGCAAGAACTGCCGCACCAGAAGCAGCCCATCATATCCGACGCGCTGCTGCTGGATTTGCTTCACCGAGCCGAGGAACTGAAAGAGGGGCCCCCAGAGGCACCTCCTGGCGGGTGGGAAATCCTCGCCAAGAGTCAAGAATGCACAGCGTACAGAAGACTCCGTCAAGGTCTGGCTGAGCTTGCAGCAAGACGCGCTTCTTAGAGAGCAGAGTTGCTGCTGCTGCCAAATCGTCTGGTATCTTTGAAGAGACCTTTCCTTGCTTTTTACGGGGCCTCTCAGCGCCGTACAGTGCTCGCTCGCTCGCTCCTCCCACGTGCTTCTTCTATGCCACCGCTGCGCTTGCCTGCACAACATCCGCTGGCGGCTGCACCTTGCGCTTCCTGTTGCAGGGGGGACAGACTATGAGTACGCTGTGAAGGGGCACATTCGTGATGTATCCGCTGCCGCGTATATCACGACACTCAACGCGCTGCCCTTTCGGCTCTCATGGGATTCAACTGTAAAGGCCATAGAGCTGCTGCAGCTGTATAGGACGGCCTCCTCTCCGGGAGCAGCTCCCGCCGTCCTCGACAGCACGAGCAGCAGCAGCAGCAGCAGTAGGAGTGGCAGCAGCAGCAGCAGCAGTAGTCGTAGCAGTGGTATCCGGGGTTCCCCAGGAGCAGAAGGAGGAGGAGGCGAGAAATTCGCTGGGAGGCTGCGGGGGGGCAGTCCTTCGTGCTGCATGCCTTCTCCGCGCGTCGCAGGGGGGTCTTCGAAGGGCAGCTGTAAAGGCGTTCCTTCCGAGGTGTATCCCATTGGAGGCTCGGAATACGAGGAGATCATTTACTGGCGTGTCGGCCTTCCCTGGCCAGCGCAAGACAGAGACTTTGTGTTTGCGCGGCGTCTAAGAGGATACAAGAGCCGCAAGAGCGACGGCAGAAGCAACCACGTGCATGCGTTGGTGTGTGGTCAGGTGCAGGCGGAGGTCCCTGAGATGCCTCCTGTACGAGACGCAGTGCGTGTGCACACCTTTGAAGCTGCCTTTATCGCTTTTCCCTCCAATGACATCGTGGCTGCTCCTCTGGACGGCGAAGAAAGTCTCTCTGGAGGCGCTGGCTCGGAGAGGCATGCCCCCCTGACAGATGGCATGGGGGCCCCTTCGGGGGGCAATCCCGAGAAGGCTGGTGTTATATACGTCGCTTTCCACTACGATAAATCCAAGTAAGGCAGAGGCGGTGCGCCAGGCGTAGCTGCTCGGCACAGTGGCTCGTGCGGAGGTGCTCTTCCCCAGTTATTTCGAAGGCCTTCTGCCTCTTCCAGCTTCTCGTGCCGCCTTCAGAAGGAAGCTGTCTCAGAGGGGTTGCCGTGACGAGATGAGGCAGTCTTTGGAATGAAGCCCTTGCGTGTGTGGATGGACAACATCCATTGGCTGCAGGAGTCTTCGGCTATGCAGATTTGTTTTCCCATCATAAAAGCAGCAGCAGCAGCAGTAGCAGAGCTGTAGCATAACGCGCCGTGCCAAAGCCTGCGCTTCTGTGTCTTTGCAGCTCGCCAGTCCCCTCCTGGCTGCGTTCGTACATTGTTGCGCACTCGCTGCCGGCGACCATGGGCGCTCTCCGCAGTACTGCTCTGCGCCTCGTGGACGCAACGGGGCGAGTCAAACTTCCGGGGGCCCTCAGGGGCCCTGGGGGGGCCCCTCTGAGCAAGCAGCAACTGAAGCTGCTCGAAGAGCAGTATCTTATTCATAGTCCGCAGTGGAAAGGGCCTCCCGGGGAGGGACGTTCGGCAGGGGAGGGGGGGGCGGGAGACGCTTCAACGGTGCTTAGTCCTGAGGGGAATGGGTGGAGGCACGATCTAGATGAGCAGGTTCCCATACAGAAGCATACGCAGCAGCAGCAGTATCGGGGGGCCCCTAGTTGTACGGCCACGGGAGACTCGGGGGCAGTCTTGGGGGCAGTCACTGCAGCAGCTGCCGATCTGAAGCAGTTGCTGCTGCAGGACGGAAGGCGCACAAAAAAACACGCCGCTTGCGCGGCACAGCCGCTTGTCGTCCCCGTAGCTCTTGGGGGGCCTCACGAACTAAGCCTTTGTCCGCCTCCACCCATTCGTGCTGCAGAGCTTGCGGAACTGCAGGGGCTTGTCTGGGAACCCCCGTGGCTGCCTCCGAAAGGCTTCGCATGGCGCTCCTCTGCGGCAGCGCGGAGCGCCTTCCTCTGGGTGCTTCGCCTTAGGGGGCCCCCCTGGCTCCTCTCCCCTTGTGCGTGTATCCTTCGCAACACGCAGACGGTGTCGTCGTCGCTGCCACGCATTCCAGAAAAACAGAACCCCTTCGGGGGGGCTTCCCAGGCGGCTCCTTGCCCGGCATCTGTAGCAGTGGGCCTCCCGTGTGGCCATGTGTTGCTGCGCCGAACCGCGAGCACGGGGGCCTTTACCACGCTACCCTATAATCCGAATAAGAGACGCTAGCAGTAGGGGATTTCTAGCGGCTGTAGGGCCCCGCTGCTCCCTGTAAAAGGCTCTCAGGCAAACAGAGGGCTGCTTGCGAGAGGCCCTTGCAACAGAACTGCTTGCAAGGGGCCCCTGCAACAGAACTGCTTGCAAGAGGCCCCTGCAACAGAAGCGTTTGCAAGGGGTCCCTGCAACAGAACTGTTTGCAAGGGGTCCCTGCAACCGAACTGTTTGTAAGAGCCTGCATTTTAGAGAGAGAGAATCGGTGTTTCCACGAGCAAGGCCGCTCGCTCTGTTGTCCGTTTGCTGTTGCGTGCGCCCTGCATGCCCTGGCGCTGCTGCCGCTTGGCATACGGCCAAAGAAGGCTATCTTACGTAAAGGGAGGAAAGCGGACGGCTCTTACGCAACGCAGATAGCCCTATAGCTGCCGCCTTGCGAAGCGCTGAACGGCGACGGCACCCACCGGAAGACGCAACGGGGGGACAGAGGGGGTACATGCGGTGAATAGCGCAAGGGGAAAAAATGGATATCTACAACGAAGATAGGGCAGTACAGTACACATCAGCGGCTATTAGCTGACAGGGGCCCCCACTGAATCGATCTCTAGAAGCGTTGCGCCCTCCTTTTCTCACCCCTAAACACAACCCCGACGGCGATACACCGGATGTGACATACCCTCTCCTCCCCTCCGGCGTTGCGTTCTGGTCTCCCCCTCCCATGCCAAATGCCTTCTTTTGCGACACGAACAAATAAAGGGTTGAAATGAGTTTTAAACAGAGGAGGCGCACGGCACCTCTGCGGCCAGGAGAGATCTTCCTCTCCCGTACTGTAGCCGGCGGCCTGAGTCAAAGTCTGTTCTCTGCTTTTTGCGTCCTTTCATTACCTCCCTGCATCATGCTGTAATGTGAGTCTCTTGCTGTGGTCACTCGCGCCTGCTGCTCCAGTTACGCCTGTGAAAGATGCTCGGCTAGAAGCACACATTGTGCTTCCCCTTCCTCTTTGGCTGGCTGTACTACGCAGCGGCTTCTTTGTAAACACACAGCCTCAGGACAGATCGGTGCGGGAAGGGAGAGCACGGCTCAACCCATGAAGCACACGGCTGCTTTGGGCGGGTAGGGGGGAAGGGCCCCCTTCATTATAGCCTCATTTCACGCACACATACTGGTAAATGGCACCCTCTGCAGTTAGCTATCCACCCTGCTAAACCCCTAGGGGCCCCCCTACGGGGCCCCCCTGGAGGCCACCTAAAGGCCCCCAGCACTGCTACTCGGGTAGCCGGAGAGCTAGGTACAGAGGAAAGGCGAAGGGCGGCCTCAGGGGACCCCCTTTTCTGAGCTAGCTTGCTCGATAGCCGGCTTGCTAGCCATACGGAAAGACCCCAGGACTGCGCATTGCGGCAGGTGGGCAGTGGCGGATACCAAGTAAATGCAATAACTATGATACAATGGCAGGCCTGCTGCTGCTGCTGCTGCTGCTGCTGCTGCTGCTGCTGTTGCTGCTGCTGCAACGGCTCACCTGAAGCAAAACCAAGAAGGGATAGGGGCCTCGGGGGCCTCCTTCTGTGAAGAGCTGGGGAAGGCGAGGGCAGAAGAGGCGCTCAAAGCAGAACCGGGCACAGGGGCCCCGCTGCAGCAGCAGCAGCTCCCGCTGCTGCTGCCGTTGCTGTTGTTGTTGCTGTTGCTGCTGCTCTTCCAGTCGCCGACGGGGGCTTCGGGAGTCACCGAGGCATGATGCACTAAAGAAGGGGTGCCCTGTTCTAATAGAGGGGACCCCAAGAATACTTCTTTCGCAGGGCCTCCACCGAGGGTATAGAGGGGGGGGCCCCTAGGAGATGCAAAACCAGGGGGGCCCCCTAGGGCCCCCAATGGAAAGGCATTCGCCAAAAATGGGTAGTCCTGCTGAATCTGCAGCAAAACCTGCTGCTGCTGCAACTGCTCTTGTAGCACCTTTTGTTGCTCTTGCTGCACCTGCTGCTGCAGCAACTGCTGCTGCTGTTGCCGCGGCTGTTGCTGCTGCTGCCCTGCTGCGGAGGGTAAGGACAGCACTGCTAGCTGCGCCAGGAGACCTTGAATCGCTAAGTCGATCTCCGGCTGCTGCTGCTGTTGCTGCTGCTGCAGTTCCTGCCGTTGAGTAATTTCATGCCGTTGCTTCTGCTGCTGTTGCAGCAAGTGTTGCTGAAGCAGCAGCTGGTGCTGCGCAGACACTGCAAGGTGGCTGCTAGAGGGGCTCGTACACGGAGGCGCGAGGGCCCCCCCGCGACTCTGGGAAGGCGGGTTCAAGGGTAAGGGGGGGCCTCCTCCCTCTTGGGGCCCTGGAGTTCTACGTACATCGATTACCGGGGGGGCCCCTCGTCCCCCCGCTGCAGGCGCTAACCCCATACAACTAAGGAGGGCCTCGCAATCTCGCAGCAGCTGCTGGCGCATTCGGGTGTAAGCAAGCTCCGTAGCAGCAGAGCTAGCGTTGCTGCTGCAGCCAATGCTGCTGTTGCTGCTCGGCGTGCTGCTAACGCTCGTGGTACTCCCACCGCTACCCTTGCTGCCGCTGCTGCTGCTGCTGCCCGGAGGAGGGTTACCCCCCACACACCCCAGGCGCTGCGCTGCTGCCTGACACTTGCGCTGCTGTTGCTGATGGAAGCAGTGCGGACCATCCCTCTTCGCAGCGTCATGCCGCCCCGAACGTGCACCCGTGCGCTGGGAGCTTCCTATATTATGGCCGCTTTCCTTGTTCCCCTTCAAACCAAGGGGCAGCGGCCATGCCTCATCTGGAGGAAGAGGCCTCAGCTCTGCCGCAGAATGCTGCAAAGAACCGCGGCAGCAACAACCAAGACATAATAATAACAATACATACATACACACACTAACTGGCACATAATAATAATACCCATACCCCTACCCTTACACACACCAACAAACACATTATACTAATAATACCCTTACCCTCACACACACCAACAAACACGTAATACTAATAATCCCATACCCATACCCCTACACACACCAACAAGTACATATTAATACCCATACCCCTACACACACCAACAAGCACATATTAATACCCATACCCCTACACACACCAACAAACACATATCAACACCCATACACACCAACGCGTAAAATCCAAGACATACTACCACAGTGGGCAGCACACTCCAGACGACACACGGAGTTGAAGACTTCCGAAACATCCCGCTTGACACCAACGGCAGCAAACCCCGCAGACAGCAGCTCGCCGCTTACCGCGTATTTGCAGTTCGAGCCCGCGTGGCATCGTCCCCGCATAAACCGAGAGCAGGGAGCAGCCTTAAAATCTGTCCTGCAGCACAGCATGCGCAAGAGCGACAGACGAAGAAACATATGAGGGCGGTCTATAAAAGGCGCATGTCGGATCCCCCCAGTGCCCCCCCCCTCGCTGGCTGTCCCTTCGGTTTAAACGGCTCGTGTTGCGGGTTCTGCATTTGCCGAGGCTCACTTGCTGCCGGCGCTACGCTGGCTATCTGCATTTTCCTGCGCACATGCAAAAAATGGAGCACAGTTCGCCTTTTGAGGAGTCGTGGTGGCATCGCTTCCCAGGAGGCACCATGCCGTTCGTCCGCGCTGCAGCGCATGAAGGCAGCTGCCTGCACACACACTATCGTGGAATTGCGGCACATCCTCATCACCGAAATGCAATTGGAGATTGGGGTGCGCTACCTGTTCGTTCTTCGTGTCGGTGTTTGCCTCTGTGCCGGATTCGCACAGGCCCTTGTCCTGCGGCAGCCACGCATCCGCAGGAGGAGCTGGTGGTGACCTCATGCATCAGAAATAGAAAGAAACGGAAAAGCACGCTGATCGGGGTGTCTGCCTGCAGCAGTCATAGATCTGGACGAAAGATCGAGCCCACACGGTCGTAGGCGGCAAACTATAAAGCGCATAGCCGAGAGGCCTCACAAAGGGCAGGATCGTCCCCTAGGGTGAAACTGCGCGTGCGGCAGCGGCGGTAAAATAGCGGGCTCGGGGGCAGCAGCAGCAGCGCTCTAATCGATTTATGCGGCGTTGCGCCAGCATTCGCAGCAGCAACAGATGCAGCAGTGGCGGAAGCAGGCGCAGGAGCAGCAGCAGCAGGGGTACGCTTACTAAGGGGGCGGATGCCACTTCAGAGATATGAACACCTGAGAGGATACCAGCGGGCCCCTGAGGCCCCATTTTTGCATTTTGCAAAAGAAAGTCGCAGTCAGGTGCGGCATTATAACTGCTACTGCCACTGCAGTTGCAGCAGCAGCAGCAGCAGCAGCAGCAGCAAAGGGACTCTGTGCCCCTGCAGCACAGGCCCCTCCGCAACTCGGCAGGGCCTAGTCGGCGGCAGCACTGCACCGGCTTCTCAAACGGCAGTATCTCTTCCTTCCTTATTCCCGCAACGACAATGTATTGCTTCCCGAAAATAAAGACCTCCAGATGCTGCACAGTAACCAATCCACCCAGCGGAATCCCTCCTCGAGCCCCCTGCCCCACTGCCTCTCCTCCTCCACGGGTGTCAGTACGGCGCTAACACGGGGGCCGTACAGTACCCTGATAGGAACCCTCCCATTGCGTGTATATCCCATCAAAGCGGCTGTTTTCTAAGGGCCGCACCAAGCTAGCTCACGGGAACGCAGGTGGCAGCGCCGATGCCCCCACAGGAGAGTAGACATCCCACTTGAGTTGAGAGCCGGCCTACTGGCGGTGCGTCCTGCTACAAAGACACGCAGATAGAGGCGCAGGAAGGCGCAGACACATATTCCTGCTACTGCCATGAATATTTAGTATTGATTCTAAGAAGTCTTTGCAGCAAAATGGTCGCGCATCGGCCAGCTGGTTGGCTAGCTAACTAACGGACCCTGTAGCGGAGCTGGCAAGCACCGAAAAATGAGCACGGCAACACAGCCTACACGAAGTGGTAACAACACATCTAAACAATCCCTGAGACTTTTCCCATGTCTCCGGTAATGCACATTTCTCAGGTTGTGGACACAGCGCGCGGGGTAGCCTTCTCCAGAGCCACCCCTAAGGGGCCCCCCAAATGTGTGCTTTAGTCCACAAGGAAAAGGGGCCTCTAAGCAATGCACCCACATAGATAGCTCCTGCAGCACTATCTCGCGTAGGCCAGACTTGCGGGCGTGAATAGGCACACAGTGACGGCTTGTCTGGCCACTTGGTTGTTCCAGCACCCCCATTTCTCTCTCTGAATCTTTCTGTCCTGTTTTCCTTGGTCCTATATGCTTTGTTTGGGAGAGAATCTTACACTAAGAAAATACCTGCCAATTTCAGCCTCTCCCTGTCTCCTTCTAACAAATAATGCCTGTTTGTAGAGCGCGCAGCAGCCAGCGCTGGTGTTATCTCCCCGTCGTTGAGTTTGTCTTCGTCTGCATCTACCAATCTAACTTCATGCTTCTAAGAAACTTCATGCGTGTTGTTCTTTGAGGGCCATTTCCTCTGCGCTGGAGCATACGTGCCACACCCCAAATGACAGACCCACGCAGCTCAGCAAGGAACACCGACAAGAAGCACAAACCGAGGCAGAGAGTGGTTAAAAACGTGAGCTTGTAAAACAGCTCGCTGACGATGCCTTTAGACAGAGGGGTGTATAACATAGCTCCACGAGACCAAGAGGGGGCACACCATGTATATATATATATATATATATATATATATATATATATATATATGTATATATACATATATATATATACACATATATATATATACCGGCTTGTTCGAGATGCACATAGTTCAATGTAGTTACACACATGTATGCAGTGTGCGAAGAAAGTAGGGTTGCACTGCTAGTTTAATGCCAGAAAGATATACAAAGAGCATCAACAGGGGGAGATGGGGGGAAGGGGAAAGGGGAGATTGGAAGGAGAGCGTCGACAGTCACCTCACCTCCTTGGCGGTGTTGTGCATAGAGGAACCAAGCCCTGTCTTTGATCAGTGGCCCCTGTACTCCATGGCAGTCCGAGAGCTTCATGTTTATTGAGACGCTGCCCTGCACGTCTCCTATGTTTCCGCTGCTCGCCTTCGCAGCTGCACTGGCAAAACGCGTAGCGGTATGCGTCCGCGTGTGCATTGCTTGACCCAAGTCTATTGTATGTAGGCCAATTCGAGACACGAACCCCAGCAGTACACATTTACAGAGCCATCGGCTCCTTGAAAAAACCTGGAGCCCATACTAGCTTTCGCCAGCTGGGGCCTCCCTACGTGATGGTCCGCAGGTGAGACACTGGTCAGGCAAGCGCATGCCCCTCGGGACTTTTAAATAATGACTCCTAGGAAGAAGCGCGAAGGGCCTTCCTTCTTCTGTATAACGTGTATAGACGCCTAAGCACCCATTGCTAACAGAGACAACGGAAGGGGGGCCCCGCCCATTCCTTAGAAGCAGCAGCCCTGCCGTATCATGTCCCTCTCATGCAGAGCAGCACATGCTTTTCGCAGCCACACAAAGCCGTTTACAGAGCTCCACAGCAAGCTTCCTGCCAGCCTTCTCGGCTTCCAGATGGCAGCAGCACAGGAGCTTTTCATCTAAGCCCCCACCCACACGGCAAATGCTTATCGTTTTCTCCCGTGCCGAAAGGCAGCGGCCTTCGTTGAACAGTTGAGCCAAATTTCCGCATGGCCCCGCCCGCCTTCCCTCACCCCGCTGCAAAGGCGGATATGCTACTGCCATCTTTGTCACTTTAATTGGTAAATTCAAAGCATGTGTGCCATCAAGCTGGAAAAAGTGAAAGGCTTGAAATCACCAAACGGGATGCTGTGCCTCTCCTGCGTCTCGCTGCGCGCCGCGCGAGTCGAATTTGTTTGCGGGGGTCTCTTAATCAAATTGTTGGACGGCAGCGCTACAGTTCCAGCGAGAGTGGAGGAAAGGAGGCTCTAGTGGCTAGAGCGAGTAGCTAGACGACGGGATACAGCAGCAACCCACCCCTGCTTCACCCTTTGGTAATAGCATCCGAGGCTCTATCTACAACCCAAGCACCACCACCTCCTCCACCTGCACTCTCTACGCTTAAGATGAGGAGGAACTAGCGCGAGACGTAGGATGAGGAGCCAAAAAGGCCTCCGCATACCGGAAACCTTAGGTTTCCCCGCTCGACAAGGCCCCTCGAGGGCCCAGGGCCCCCCGCAAGTCGTGCAAGGGGCCTCTACAGCAGAGACACTGCATGTATGAGACAAATTCTGGGGGCCTATGCAGCACGCTAAAATCTCTACTGATGCTTCACGCTGGGCTAGAGGATGGGCAGAAATTCAATGAACAAGTACTCTAACAAAGGGGCCGGCCTTTCCCTCCCCGTCGCCTGAAGAGGATGCATGAGAGGGGAGGCTCCTGTCTGCCAACGGCAGCCCCCACAGAGGAGAAGAAACAAATTGGAAAAATATTGGCTGTAAGGCGCATATATATATATGCATCAGGACCGGGTGCAGGCCCTTGGAAGGCCAGCCCCAAGGCCCCTACTCACCTCCCGACTGAGGGCTGCCATCTCCGCTGTCTTCTTCTCTTCCCGCCACATGCATTCGCATGAGCCTTCTTCTCAGGAGGTCTCCATGCCACTGCTGCTGTTGCTGCAGATGTTGCTGCTGCTGTGGCTGCGGCTGCGACTGCTGGTGATGCAAGCGGAAGTAGGAACACAGGTGCTCCTCTGCTTCATCCGCTTGCTGCTGCTGTTGTTGCTGCTGATGCTGTTGCTCGCGTTTAGAAGCAGAAGTAGAGAAGGTCCCCGGTCCCATCGATTGGCTGTGGTGAAAGGTATCGTACTGCAAGCAAGACACCCCAGTGCAGCACCGCAAACAACGAAGCATGCTAACAAATCACCAGGCCCATAATGCATGCAGAAGTGAACAGCCTTCCACACGCACCAGCGAGCTGCTTCTTTGCATGCGTAAACGGATTGACAGGATGTTCGCACGCCTATGTTTATTAGATACACATGCGCATTTGCGTGATACAGGCGTCATTTGCATGCGGCAGCAAGCTTGGGCCCCTTTTGGCTAAGCACCAACTAACCGTCTCTGTCACGAGCCGCAGAGCCCCCAGCAATTCGGACACCTCGCCCGTATCCATCAGGTAGAATCTAAGCGTAGAAAGCAAAGCAAGTGCAGATAGAAGCAATAAAGAATCAGAAGCGGCTGCGCGGGAGATGGAAGTTGAATGAGGGGCAAGCAGGATCTAACAGCGGCTGAAACGGCGTTGGCGGCGAGAATGCATGCCGCAGCAGAGCCATCGAGTTTAATGCAGTTACTTGGCATGGGAAGGCTTTTTTCCAACAGTGCAAGTAAACACATGAGGCTCTTTCATCGTTTGCTGAAGGCACAACGCGCGAAAACGCATGCAAAGGGGAGCACAAGTTTTTCTGGGAGTACGTATATATGAAACAGGAAGGCGACGATACGCTGGTGAGAAACAAGAGCCGGTTACACACAAAAACGCACACAAACACAGGCACATGGATGCATTTACACATGTACATATTTAGTTATATCTGCGCATGGAGATATGAATATGACGAATATATGCTGAGACATTGCAAAATACATACATAGGATTGTATACTTATACAAACATGTATCCATAAATATAGGTATATATATTAGCTGGCCCGTTCGAGCTGCACATATTTCAATGTGTCTTTTACAGAATACATGAAACTCGTGCGCGAAAAATGCAGGGGCACGTTGGCAGTCGATATGCGTGGAAGATGTACAACCAGCAGCAGCAGGAGGAAATGAAGGGAAGGGGGAGGGAGAGATTGGAAGGAGGGTGTCGATGATGGCCTCACCTCCTTGGC